TGTCTGAGAGACCGTCATTAGAGCGGGGTCCTCTCTATAGAAGATTCTAGCGACTTTTCCTGGCATAAATCACTACCATTGCCTTTGCTGTAGGACCACGGAGCACCTATCCGGCTGTACTGTCACCGTACAATTCCTGAACACTAGCAGTTAATGCAGAATGATTTTATTCCCTCTCCTCACTTTCCCGCATCACCGCAAGACTCCGACACTCAAGCTAATTAAAACGCCAGTCAAAATTAAATCACCATTACTTGTAACGGAAGCCCCATCAACTATCAAATATAGTTCAGCATGAATTCAGATTAATTATGATGTGTGGATGATCGAAAGGGGTCCTCATCCTTTGATGCTTATTTTGGGGGTCAGTTTAACAAACTAATACAGGAATGAGAAAAAAATTGCTTCTATGTGACAAAATAGCAATTATGTTGACAGATTTGTTCCACTGACTGACTGACATGTGTTGGAGTCACTCGGGGTTAAGGTTCTGCATATTGCCTCTAAGCCATATACTAAGTTTGACAAGTGATAGCAACCAATTATACACCGATCAGCCATGACTTTATGATCACACTGACAAGTTAGGTGAATAACATTGATTATCTTGTTACATTGACATCTAGAAATCAGTGGGAGATATTAGACAATAAGTGAACATGTTGTTCCTGAAGTTGATGTGATGAAAGCAAAAAAAATAAATAAATCAGGCATCCCAGTTTTTTGTGTATGAGGCTTTGTAGCCACAGACCGGTCAGGGTGCCGATGCTGACTCTTGTCCACAGCCAAAAGTGCCTGCAATGGGCACGTATGATAGACAGACAGCACACATCAAAACTGGACCACAGAGACATGAATGAAGGTGGCCTCATTTGATGAATCATGTTTTCTTATACATCTTGTAAATGGTCAGGTGCATGTGTGTTGCTTAGCTAGGGAAGAGACAGCACCAAAAATGCAGTATGGGAACAAGGCAAGCCGGTGAAGGCAGTGTGATGCTTTGAGCAATGTTCTGCTGGGAAAGCTTGGGTCCTGCCATTCATGTGGATGTTACTTGACACGTACCACCTACCTAAACCTTGTTGGTGACCAAGTACACCCATTCATTGAAACAGTTTTCTTCTGATGGCATTGGCCTCTTTCAGTAGGACAATGTGCCCTAACACACAGCAAAAATGGTTCAAGAATGGTTTGAGGATCACAACGAGTTTGAAGTGTTGACTTGGCCTTTAAATTCTCCAGATCTCAATCCATTAAGAATCTGTGGGATGTGCTGGATTAAATAAGTCCATGAAGCCCCCACCTCACAATTTACAGAACGTAAAGGATCTACTAATGACGGCCTGGTGCCAGATACCACAGCCTACCTTCAGAGGTCTAGTGGAGTCCATGCCTTGCCATGTCCGTGCTGTTTTGGTGGCAAAAGAGGGACCCACTCAATACTAGGTGGGTGGACATAAAGTTATCACTGATTGGTGTAATTCCTCTTTCAAATTCTGGTTGCTTTGGGTTATTTCTTTTTCTGAAGTTAAAATAAACTTCTTATTACATATACAAGTTGTTGATGATGTCCTTCTGGAAATGCTAGTTGCCTTGTTACTAAGATAATCCATTGGCCTCCATAACTTTCGATTCCTTGACATCACACAAGTTTGAAGATCAGGAAAGTCAGAGCAAAGTCAGAAGTTCGTATGACAGTCAGGCAATTAGTATTTTTGGGAGAGATCAGTCTCCATTTTCCTCTCATAACAGATTCCCATTAAAGATGAACAGATGAATACATAAAAGGAAGCTGTGTTACCTCCACCCTGATTCTTTCTATCTATCTATCTACAGTATCTATCAATCTTTTGCTCTTCCTTTTTCTCTCTCTATACCATTGGCTGTGTAAAAAAATGCTACCATCACTCCATGCCCTTGGTCATCGTGAACTTTTCCAACATGACAATGACCCAAAACACACACATCTAAGGCCACAGTTGCATTCCTGCAAAAGAACAGGGTGAAAGTGATTCAGTGGCCAAGTATGTCTCCTAGTATGAACCCAATTGAAAACCCATGAGGAATTCTGAAGAGACAAGTTGAGCAAGTTGAGCATCACTCCCCATCCAGCATCCAGGTTTTAAAAGAGGTAATTCTTGAAGAATGGGAAAAGATCTATGTTGCCATATGTCGCCAACTTGTTCATTGCATGCCTAGAAGACTTGGTGCTGTCCTTACAAATCATGGAGGTCATACAGAATACTAGATGGAGTAGTTTTTATTGTGGGGTGTATTCATTTTTGCATCAACTAACATGAGTAAAACTGAAGCTTTTGTAATCTGAATTATATTATTAACCTTAGTTTCATATAATGAGCTAAACAAATGTTCTATAAGACTCAGTTTTGTCAAAATTGTGGAGATTGTCCTTGTGTTCATTGAGATATTGATTAAAATCTTATTTTTAAAAAGGGGTGTACTGATTTATGCTAAACATTGTGTATATATATATATATATATATATATATATATATATATATATATATATATATATATATGAGAATAGGTGCAGGTACTCCCAACTTCCGAGCCACCACTACCCACCTCCGAGCACTGTTTCTCCACCCACCTCCAGTACCCAAGTATAATTTTTGGTGCTAGTGAACAACATCCCTCCCTGCAACAATACATTCCCTCCAGCAACAATAGACCCCCCCGTTGACAACAATAGATCTCCCAGCAGCCATCATCAGTAGAACCTCTAGCAGCCAGCTACAATAGACCCCTCCCTTAACAGGAAATCCCTCCCAGCAACAATTGATGACTCAGAAACACAAGTCCTCCAAGCACTAATAGACCATCTTGCAACAATAGATACCCTCAGAAACAATAGATCTCCCAACAGCTAACATCAACAGACCCTCCAGCACACCCCAGCACCCCTGATGCCAATGCCATGAAGGGTCATACTTGGTCAGCAACAAGTTTTAGGTAAGTGGTATGTGTCAAGTAACATCTACATGAATGGTGGAATCCAAGCTTTCCCAGCAGAACATTGCTCAAAGCTTCACACTGCCTTTACCAGATTGTCTTCTTCCCATACTGCATCCTGATGCCATCAATTCCCCAGCTAAGCGACACACATACACCTGACCATCCACGTATACGAAAACATGATTCATCAGACAAGGCCACCTTCTTCCATTTCTCTGTGGTCCAGTTCTGATATGTGCTGTCTGTCTATCATACGTGTCCATTGAAGCCACTTTTGGCTATGGACGCGGGTCAGCATTGGCACCCTGGCCGGTCTGTGGCTACACAGCCTCATACACAACAAACTGGGATGCACACTGAAAAATTCTAAAATATATATATATATATATATATATATATATATATATATATATATAATATATATTTATTTCTATTAGTTCCAGCCAGAGAATGACATAATATAATCAGCAATGTGAGATCTCCAAGCTAGTGCATATAAAACACCATTGGAATTTACCTAGCATTAGTTATTGTGGCAATGAGGTTTGCACTTCAATTTTCCGTAGCAGTAAACCATTTTACAGGATTGGGTTGCTGGCCCAGCACCCAACCCTCCTCTTTTCTGAGCAAAATTTTCCGAAATGTCCACCTTTTGTTTAATTCAACAATTCTATCTGTAAAATCGTTTCAACCCACCAGTTAGCACTAACAAGGATAACAACTGCCCCCCCCCCGTGCATCTCCTGCCCTGATATCCTGAGTATTACATCTTCCTAGACTTGCTCTTCCTATAAGAACTCGGTAATGTTGGGTTCTCAATAACTCTGAAGAATGCTGAGCTGTGCGGCTCAATCACAGGAGTGCGGAAGGAAATTACAGCTTTTAAGTATTTTTCTATACGCACATTGTACAATTTCGGAAGCGGCGTGAGTCCCATCTTACATTTCTCACTCCATGTGGCTCTAAACAGCCAGACACCTCTGTGTAATGCCTTTCCATTCAACTGTGCCGCGCCGCTTAGTGTTAATCTCTCTCTCTTCACTGGAATCCCTCAATTCAACCCGCGCAGATGCGGCCCCGTGGAACGGCAGAAGGCTTATTGAACGGATGGGAGATGGCGCACAAAGAGAAATCAGCTATTTGAAAAGTCTGAAATAATTAAAAAAAATCCACTTTACATATTAGGCTTAACAGTCCTTAAAGTCCATCTCCAATAAACCTAAAGCAGAGTTCCAGTCAGTTTTGTGTTTATTAAAAAATGTATTTTTAGTCAGTTTATTCAAAAACTGTAGCTGCTGACTTTTAATAAACACACACTCACCTGTCCTGGGATCCAGCGACATGCTCACCCGCACCGTCCCTTCTCTGCCTCTTCTCTCCCCAGTGCCGGCACCACAACTGTGGGCACCAGGCTGTGACAGCTTGCGGCTTCACATCTGGGTGCCCACTGCGCATGCCTGATGAAAGGGTCCTGAGAGACTCCAAAACGTTGCCTTGCTGTAATTATGTGATCACTTATTAAAACTTTTGGACCCATATTGGTGATGCTTGGTGTGCTGGTGACATTCTCCCCTGTACATGTGTGAGTTGCGCTGCGCATTCTCATTGGACCAGCAGTCTTCTGGGACCTGTGAAGGTTCCCAAGAAACTGCGGGAAGAAGGAGGGGGCCTAACGTCCTGCTCACTTCGCTGCAGCAAACTGAGTAGGAGGTGGGAGCAGGTACCTGTCAAAAACAGGTATCCGCTCCCCCCCCAAAAGGTGCCAAATATGGGGGAGGAGGCAAATAAGCAGAGCTTCCACTTTTGAGTGGAACTCCGCTTTAAAGTGTGACTAAACCCACAACAGTACAATCAGTCTGTATATGCAGTAAAGCATGCTTGTTATACTCCCTGTGGAACCTAAGGGGTTAATCTTCTGCATTGTGTAAAAAAGGCTGCTTGATCTGTCTTCTCTGTTCCTCCCCTTCTTCTACTGTCCCCAATCCATCTGCTGATATTACAGAGCTCTAGGAGTTACTCTGCACATGCTCAGTTTAGTTTGTATTGCTAGAGAGTTTTTTTTCTTTGGAAGAGTGCATGTGATCAGCACAGGGCCAATCAGCACTGTCCAGACAGAGGGTCAGGGGTCATGCAGTGTCATAGAACAGTCAGAGCAGAAAGAAAACTGTCTTCTCTGATCCTCCCCTTCTTCTACTGTCTCCAATCCATCTGCTGATATTACAGAACTCTAGGAGTTACTCTGCACATGCTCAGTTTAATTTGTATTGCTAGAGAGCTTCTTTTTTTTTTGGGAGAGTGCATGGGATCAGCACAGGGCCAATCAGTCCAGACAGAGGGTCAGGGGTCATGAAGTGTCATAAAACAGTCAGAGCAGAAAGAAAACTCCTCCTACAAGCTTTAACCAGCACTCAGCAGCTGGACACTGACAGAAGTCACAAGACTGCTATATACTGCTGATGAGAAAAGGTATTTGGCAGTTTATATTTACTATAATAATTTAATTTCCATGTTCTGTGTACTGTGGGAGACCAGACATCGTGCAGGGTCCTTGGTTTAGTAACACTTCCCCTTGCAGTAGGGCTGCCCCCATACTGAGAGGGTTAAACCCGAGAAATCTGGAAATTCTCCCATCCAGCGGGGCTGTATCTATAATGCAAAGTTTTGATGTCTGTTTAGTCTAGGGTAAAGTAAATCTTGTTTTAGTGACCCAATACTCTGCTCCCCTGGGAGACCACATTCCTCCATACTCCAGCAGTGGATTGTCTCTTGGCATTCTTTCATCCAATTGCTGGAACACCTATGGACCCTACATTGGTCTTGATGAATCAGGACTTTATATTGCTGGAGCCTGAGGGAAAAGACCTGTCTGCAATGGAGGATTGTTAAGTCTCCTGGGGTTGGTATTCAACTGGTCATTTATGTCTAGGACTATGACAAGGACTTTGATTTCTACATAAGTTTTCAAGATACCAGAAGACCTTAGACTGCCGGAGCACAGCGGAGAAGAGACTGCAGGGACCAGTGTGGAAATACAGAGCAGCCTGCAGTAGTGGAAGATCAGGTAAGTACAAGGATTTACCGAGTCCCCTAGACATAAATGATCAGAGGGTTCTCCAGCGATTGTTAGGGGTTCCTTGAGCCGAGGCTGGTTGACCTCCCATCTGAAGGTACAGCTCCAGATCTAATGCCATTTGGCAGAGTCAACAACATGGAAACCATGAACTTTATAGGTGTCTGGAAGGGTGTAATTCTGACCAGCATGAGAAGAAGACATGTGCCTCCCACTGACCACCAGTGTCAGGGGCTTTTTTTTCTTGCTGACCAACATTGAATTGGTTTTAGTAGGGGTTTCTCAAGACCTGAAAATTATTTCAAGGGTTCCTCTGCGGTGAAAAGGTTGAGAAAGGTTGTGTTAGACAATCTCAGCATGTGCCCTCGCTCCAGGACCTCCTGTGTACTACAGGTGCAGAAGGTCAGGAGTCCGCTCGGGCACTATATCACATGCAATTTCAAAGAAAGATGGGCCACACACCGATGACATTCTCAAACTCCAGTTAGTTTACTGAGCTTCCCGGAGGCCACGTTTTAACGCGTTTCCATCATGGCAGCCTAATCGTAACCCTAACTGGTTGATTTTTTTGTTTTCTAAAGCACTGTGTATTATAAACAACTGCCAAACAAAATTCTGTTCTCATCAATTGTCACATCTCAGTGCTGCTGATCTACAGCCTTTTTTCTGTCTACATGCAGGCAATCCAGCAATAGCCGCACATTGCCAGTGACAACAGTAGACCCAGCCTGCACAATGTGTGTCAGTAAATCATGCCTAAGGGTCACAGCTCTGATATTTTTGAAAAATTGGGCATATGGGAATATAGTAGGAGGTTGTGCCACATCTGGGGCAAGTGTTGCTGTTTTTGGTAGCACAGTGTTTTTACATTTTATTTTTAAAGGATGCAATGACGTGCTATGGAGCCAGCCATAGAATTATGTATGGAGCCTCCAAAATCCTTTAACCTCCCTAGTGGTCTGATTATGTCCATATTTCTGTGCTCAAAGCGGTACATTTTTTTTTCATGGAAATATGTATTTTTTTAATTGTAGGCCTGTAATTTTTAGGAATAACTCACTGAAATCTGTCCGAACAAGAGTCTAGTAAACATCCCGAGTAGGATAAAACTTGAAACACGAAATCATAAATTATAATTTAATAAATAATCCTAAAAAAAAATATTATAATAAATTATATTCAATAATGTGATCAAACCAAAAACACTGAAATGTGAAATATAGCTCCAAGTTCGCACATCACTGAGCAAAGTCGCAAAATCGTTTTCAGTGTCTGATGAGGAATTTCCCCACAAATCATTATCACTCAATTCTGCAAGTGGTTCTGATTTACTATCGCTGTTCTCTAGCTGGTCTAAAAGCGCTTTTGACCTAAAGGGACGCTTTTGGACGCCATGGACGTTTCTCAGTTTCCAGGCAGAAAGAACAGTAAAAATGCAGGCAGGGCGCCGGACAAAGCACTCGGGACAAAATGTATGTGAAATGGTTTGATACAGTAATGTTTTACTATGTGATTTTAGTGATTTTAGTGAATGTCACTTTTTGTCATTTTCAAATTTCCCGCTGTTCCGTCCCCCATACGCCCCAACGCTCGCAGGGGATGGAACCCAGAAGACAGATGCCGCATCCGCCGGATTACATTGCTGGAGACACTGCAGGAGAGACATCGCGGAGGCGCAGGACAAGGTAAGTGATCGAGGGATCGCAGAGCAGCGCTGCATGGTATTCCCGAGTGTAGTTCGGGGTTACCGCGTGTGGTACTGAAACTTTACCCCGAGCTACACTTGGGATTACCTCCAGGGAGGTTAAATAATGTGTTCAGTAGAAGGGAAGTGGGGTAATTTGTGGAACTTCAAAGTGACCCTGTCAACATTCTCAATATTCAAGTAAAGCAGCTAACTATGAAGAAGAGAGGAAATCCTTACCTATCCTGCTGCCCACGTCACCAAACACTGCTCTGTTGAAGAATAATGATCCAATGGAAATCTGGGGCATCAGCAGACATCTTTTATGTGACAGTGTTCTTTAAAAACCAGAAATTCTGACATGAATAAGTAAATCAATTGCGTCTGTACTGGTTATATCCCAAGGCTGCTACTAAAAACAGCAAATAGGTCTTGTGTGTAACACATCGTATAACTAGTTACAGCTTCATTTAGTTAAAATATACATAACACCCTTTTTCTGTTTCTGTGAAGGTTGATTGGATTGGAGCTGGGGCATTTCTTGAGCTGTCCTGGAGCCATTTCAGTCAGACCCTCTGCTTTTTCCTATGCTTTCCTTTGCTCTCTTCCTTTTAGTTCCTTCTGCTTGTGCAATGCTACACCAGCCTACACTGGAATATTGAGTATGAAACTGAGCAACTAGCGACTGTTGTACAATATATCATAGAGTTCAGAGGTCAGGTGTATGAAATAGACAGCATAGTGTATAATGCAGGGGTCAGAAGTTCTGAATGCACAGAGCGCAGGGGCCAGGAGTGCATAACGCACAGAATGCAGGGGGGTCAGGCATGCATAATGCACAGATTACATGGATCAGAAGTGTGTAATGCACAGTCAAACTAGGCATAAGAGGAATCCTATACCCACAGTTGATCCAGAGGAAGGCAAAAAAACCCAGAAAAGCATGATCAAATTTGCTCCTGAAGGGAAAAAAATTCCTTCTTATTCCCCCGAGCGGCAATTAGATATTCCCTGGGTCAACTTTACCTATAAATGTTAGTATCCAGTTATATTCTGTGTATCTAAGAAACAATCCAGGTCTTTTTTAAAGCAATCCACTGAGCTGGCCAGAACCAACTCTTGAGGGAGTCTATACCACATTTTCACAGCTCTCACTGTGAAGAAACCTTTCCGTGTTTGGAGATTAAATTTCTTTTCCTCCAGACATAAAGAGTGCCCCCTTGTCCTCTGTGATGACCTCAGGGTGAATAGCTCTACACCGAGTTCACTATATGAACCACTGATGTATTATACATGGAGATCATATCCCCCTTATGTATTATACATGGAGATCATATCCCCCTTATGTATTATACATGGAAATCATATACCCCCCTTATGTATTATACATGGAGATCATATCCCCCCTTATGTGTTATACATGGTAATCATATCCCCCCCTTATGTATTATACATGGAGATCATATCCCCCCTTATGTATTTATACATGGTAGATCATATCCCCCCCCCTTATGTATTATACATGGAGATCATATCCCCCTTATGTATTTACATGGAGATCATATCCCCCCTTATGTATTATACATGGAAATCATATACCCCCCTTATGTATTATACATGGAGATCATATCCCCCTTATGTATTATACATGGTAAATCATATCCCCCCTTATGTATTATACATGGAGATCATATCCCCCTTATGTATTTATACATGGAGATCATATCCCCCTTATGTATTATACATGGAGATCATATCCTCCCTTATGTATTATACATGGAGATCATATCCCCCTTATGTATTATACATGGAGATCATATCCCCCCTTATGTATTATACATGGAGATCATATCCCACCTTATGGTATTATACATGGAGATCATATCCCCCCTTATGTATTATACATGGAGATCATATCCCCCCCTTATGTATTATACATGGAGATCATATCCCCCTTATGTATTATACATGGAGATCATATCCCCCTTATGTATTATACATGGAGATCATATCCCCCTTATGTATTATACATGGAGATCATATCCCCCCTTATGTATTATACATGGAGATCATATCCCCCCTTATGTATTATACATGGAGATCATATCCCCCTTATGTATTATACATGGAGATCATACCCCCCTTATGTATTATACATGGAGATCAGATCCCCACTTATGTATTATACATGGAGATCATATCCCCCTTATGTATTATACATGGTGATCATATCCCCCCTTATATTATACATGGAGATCATATCCCCCTTATGTATTATACATGGAGATCATACCCCCCCTCATGTATTATACATGGAGATCATATCCCCTTATGTATTATACATGGAGATCATATCCCCCCTTA